GTACTCTTCACGGAATAGCTGGAATACGGGTGCTACCACAGGCATGACCAGTCTCAAAATACCCATTTCTCAGAAGGCAAAAAAATGAGTCTAAAAGAAAAGTAACTTGCCCAAGAAGTTACAAGGACAACCCAGAAATAGGGGTTGCGGTGCAAAACAAGGACCCTCTTTTGAACCCAAATATACAAACCCTTCACTGTGGAGCCAGCCTCCCCGCAGTAAAATAGAAAACCATTAAAATGCGTTAACAAACTCAGTTGAAGCTACAGTGGCTGCAATATGGCGGCTGTGTAGCCACTCCGGACTTTGGTCTGATGAGTCTAAAACTAGGAGCAGGTACGCCAACAACCATCCACCGCAGGGGGAGAAACAAGGATCTTGACCGATGCCAAGTGCTTTGGTGCTCATGACACCCTTTCTGAAGACACCAAAGTTAAAGGATGTTGTGAATGCAGGCAGAGATTTGTCCAAGCAAAAAGTTGCTCTTTCAATCCCAAATAAAGTTGGTGGCAAAAGCAGAACTTCACCTCACCGTGAGCTCCCCTTTCAGTTGAGAAAAAATGCAATTAAGCAGATTTTAACGGAAAAAACAGGTGCCGGGGACACCAAGAAAGGTGCGCATGGAGAAATTAGATGCCTCTCTCAGCACCCGGCAGGCATGAACAAATGCCAGCTGCTGAGTTTATGCTGCAACGAAGTGCTGCGAAGCACTGGGGCTGCGGAGACCAGGAGGACTTGATCGCGTGCATGTATGGCCCAAGCACCGGGCACAGCCCCTGGCCTCACCTGGCTGCCTCAGGGGAGATCCAGTGCTGCCGGTGCTTGTCTGACCTGCCTGCAGCTGGCGGCCCACGCAGTCAGCTTCTGCCCTCCTGCCCACTCCCGCCTGGTGCTGCAGCCTTGCCAGAGCCCCGTGGCTGCCACGCGAGGAGGAGAGAGCTCAAGGACACGTGCCCCAGCGGAGGGGTCCCGGAGGGGCTCCCTGGAGCACCCACTGGAGCAGGCAGGGGGGCCGCGATGGACTTCTTGGAGGGGGCCGGAGAGCAAAGAGGTTTGCCCCCTTTCCGTTCCGGTCCGATGTGTCCGTGTGAGTCTGCCTGGCCTGTTGCGGAAAGGGGCAGTGGTGCTGATGTTTCAGCTTCTTGAAAAGCTCTTTGGGTCTGGACTTATGTCAACCCCGTGAATGATGACAAGCCCTCCAAAATGTCGCACCCACAGCGGCCCCACTCAGCTCTTCCGAGGTCCTTGCTGTGGCCTCCTTTGGGGACTCACCCCACCTCTTATGTGGAGAGGCAGAATAGATCCCGTTTGATGATAGATTAAACAGTGGGCTGAATTCACGCATTGAAATCAAGCTTCCTGCTGATTTTTCTTCTTAATTTCCCCAACAGTGGATCAGATCTGACCACTAACACATTTAGTGTACAAGTAGATAGCATTATTTTCACAGTTTCATTTCAGGTGCAACATTTCTCTATCACACCTGGCATTTTGCACACTTTCCTTTTGGATCTTTCAAGGGAATATCTTTAAAATATCTTCTTCTATAGGGTCTCTCCTAGAGCTAGTATCCCCGGTAATTTGAGGTTAACTAGGGGAAATGGTATTTCTTTGTCTTCTGCTTCTCTTTCCCAGTTTGGGCTCACCCCAGCTGCTGGGCGAGCAGGAACAGCTTCCTTAAGTGAAAAGGCACCAGTCTCGGTCTCTGTGCTGGAATTCATGTGGGAGCCTTCCGTTTGTTTATATTCCATCCAACGCTGCAGTAGGTGAGGGTCCTACAATAGGCAGAAGGCAAATATTTGAGCAATTTCCCACCCTCAAAACATAAAAGGCTGAGTAGCAAACAAAGCTTAAATGCCCGGAACTGATAAGATGAAGTTAGATCTGATAGGCCTGTGACAAATGAGAACAAATTTGTTTTCATAAGGTGAACATAAAGTGCGTTATAATTGGTCAACAAGACTTTGTTTGATCATTGGCTTTTAATTGACTATTCCTGCCTTCAGCTGTTTTCTAGATGGACTAATACCTCCGTACTGGACTTTTTGTCCATTTACTGACTTGCCACTGGATTTGTCCCTTAGAAGCCTAAGTGCCAAGACAGGCTCAGCTGGGGCAGAACATTAATGTTCGGAAGGTAATGTGCAAATATTTGCAGAGCGATCCAATTTCCTATTGTTGCAAGAGCTGTAAGGACTGGGCCTGCTTCTCCCAAAATGCAGCCCTCTGAGGTGGAGGTTTCAGACTCTGAGTGTGAACCAGAAGAAGAGGCCATGAGAATGCTTCGCTGGAATGTCGAGGCCAACGAGCTGCGATTAGCTAAGTGGCTGCTGAGACACAGAACGCCTGGTTTGACAAGGGGGCACATGGTGGAACTGTGGGGGATCAGAGGGTCATGTGTGACTTTACCAGTCCCGTGGTCCTCTGCCAGGTCAAATACGTGGACCAATTAAGGCACATCCAGCGTTCCTGCCATCTGGCCCAGAAGCTGCATGAACTTCCCTGAGGGTAGAACCAACTCTGTTTGGTAGAGAAGGGAGGAGAGAGACTCAGGCTGGATTGGAGCCAATGCCTGACTCCCCATTTAGGGAGCATTAGCTATGACCCTTTGTATCCCAACCTAGTCCTAGCTGGTCACTTCAGCTCAATCAATCCATCTTTGTTATGTGGTCACAGACCTGGGAAGCCTTTAGCTCAACTACAGCTCACGAGGAGACGCTGTAGTTATACAAGCGCCTCCTCGTGATCTGCTGGGAAGGGAAAAAGAGGGAGGTTGGGAGAGAGATGCTGGCTCTCCACTGGTGCTTGGCTAAGGCAGACCAGATCTGGCCACCGCTGGGCGGACTGGAGCAGCCTTAATGACACAAGAAGAGCCCCGAGGACCAGATTAAAGGGCTTTTTAGCTTAGCATTCTTAGCATCTGTCATGCTTGCAAAAAATTCCATGGATTGGTCTGTTTCTTCTCGAGATTGGTGGCTCTTGCATTCGACTCCTGTGCGTTTGTTGTTGTTGGGGTGGGTTTTTCTGCTGCAAGCTAAAAATTGCCCCCCTTTCCCAAACTGATTTTCCCCATGGGGTTTTCTCCCAAGATAATGTAGGTCGAGATCAAATGTCGTGGGAGGGCAGAATATTCCTGATCTAGGAACTCCTTGCTTCATTTCTCAGTCTGCACACCTGACACGGTGACAGCAGATATAACTGCTCCCCCGGCTGCTTTGCTGTCCCCAGATCAGCAGATCAGTCTATTCCAGCCTTGGAAATATCACTCCAACGACGGCTTCCACTGCCTCAAACCAGGGGACCCACCAAGGATCTCCCTTCCCTGCCCGCTTCAAAATAGATGCTGGAATACTAATTTTAAAAACCATGGACATATCAGAGAGGTCCTTTTTCGCTCCCTTTCCAGAATTGCTCTTTCTCTCCCATTTCTTCCCATTCCCAGCCATACCTTTTACCTCCCTGCCCAAACCTCGTTAGTCCACTTTTCCTCCCATGTGAGCCAGTTTCCAGTAGCCCCCGCAGTAGTTTCTCAAATTTACACTTGGGTCCAAACTTAAGCTGTTAAGAGACATGCGCACTGCATGTTGCCGCTCGCTCATCCTCCTCTCAGATACTTGCTTTCAGGAACACACGCTTTCAAGAGGTCCTCCCGCAGCCACCCAGGAAGGGCCCCGGCTCAGTGGCACAGCCCCCGTCGCATGCAGACGCTTGCTGGCTGCATGCTCAGCACCTCCAGAGAAAGCCGGAGATGTTCCTGAAATCCCAGAGAGCAGCTGCCTGCCCGTGTTGACTACACTGGCCTTCTTGGACTCCATCAGAGGCAGCTCCCCTGTAGCAAGTTTATGCCTTCGAGAGACCCACCAGCGGGACCCGAGGCCAGCGGCAGTCCCACAGGGGCAGCTCTGCTCCAAGAGCCAACCTCAGCTTGACCTCCTACAGCTGCCAGGGCCAGCCTAGGCACCTATCATAGAACCATGGAATAGCAGAGCTGGAAGGGGCCATGAAGGTCATCGAGCCCAACCCCCTGCTGTTGCAGGACACCACGTTACACCATCCCACCCAGAGGGCTGTCCAGACCCTTTTTGAATGTGGGAGAGCCCCCCACCTCTCCAGGCAGCTGGTTCCACTGCCGTATTGCTCTGACAGTGAGGAAGCTTTTCCTGATGTCCAGCCTGAACCTGGGTTGTCACAGCTTGACTTGATTATTCCGTGTCCTGCACTCCAGTATCACTGAGGAGAGATCTCGACCCTCCTGTTCGTGACAGCCTTTGAGGTACTTAGAGAGGGGTATCATGTCCCTGCTCAGTCTTCTCTTCTCAAGGCTGAACATGCCCAGTTCCCTCAGTCCCTCCTCACAGGGCAGTGCTTCCAAACCCTGGATCATTTTGGTTGCCCTCCTCTGGACCCTTTCTCATTTTTCTACGTCTTTCTTAACTCCTGGTGCCCAGAACTGGACACAATATACCCGTGCCTTGCCTGCTTGTCTGAGCCTCGCTGGCCCTGCACAGCAGGAAGCGTGGGTGGCAAGGGCCACTCCTGCATCGGACTTCCACTGGCTGGGCAAACAAGCAGCCGCAATGCTGAGAAGCAAGTGAGAAAAGCCCCCCAAGTCCTGGAATCGGCGGTCTCTGTGTTCTGGGCAAACCCTTGACCCTTTGGCCTTTGCACCCCCTTCCCATTTCCCTCAGGCAGGCCTGGAGGGATACACGCAACACCGGAGCTCCCGCATACGGCAACACGGGGGCTTTTTGCCCCAAGTAGTGCCACCTGGGATGCCCCGTGTGCATGCAGCGCCTTCACCCAGCAGCCGCCGACACGGCATGAACATGCGCAGCAGGGTGGCCTTGGCGCATGGGAGCATGGAGCCATGCCCAGCGGCTCCGCACAGCAGCTCGGAGCGACACCGGATGCGGCCGAGACCTTCCCTGAATTGGCCTTTTGGCCCTCGGGGCAGAAGAGAATCAGACTCAGGAACTCAGAGCATCAATGGGAAAGCCTCTTTATTAAAATGATTACAAAGCAATCAGCAAGTTTCGTATGATCTTTCTCCGGGGGTAGGGGGGAGTTTTCATTTCACAATCAGGGAGATTATCAGGAAGCGGGGGAGGGGGTATGAGTAGGAGGGGCAGCTCTTTCGCTCCCCATCTCTGCACAGAGAATGCCGGAAACTGCACGTGTCCAGGAGGAAGACTCTCAGAACTCCAAATTCATCTTGTAGCCCCAGCAGTCGGATTGGCTCCGGGACACGCGACCCCCCACCCTCAGCGGGATGTTCAGGCCACGCAACTCGAGCCCAGGAGCTGCAGTTCATTCAGCCACGGCCGGCTCCAGACGGTGAAGTGGCAGGTGTATCTCTGGAGGGGGGCAGGAGGAGAAGTACAAGGAGTTAGGATGTGTGGGAGAGGATCCACCAGCAAACTGGCGCTGACTGGCAATTCTGGCGTGGATGTTAGAGCAAATGGCTCAGGCCGAAAGGGGAATGAATCGTTTCAGCTTGAAGTGCGACAGCAAACCTCCACCCTTTCCTGGTAGCCATGCGCATCCCACCCCCGCTCACTGGCTTACTGAGTGCAAAGAGCTCTTGATGATTCAAGGCACCAGCCTCCAGGCCCCGAGGACGCTTTCCTAAAGCCACCTGGTAATCGTGAGAATTTAAGATACAGGAACAAAGCTTGTGTGTGGAACACAAGTCCACCACCAGGGCCTTGCTGTGCACAACGGAAGCTAGAAGAGAGAGGGGAGCCTTCACTGTGGTGGCTCCGGTTCCATGGAACTCCCTGCCACCAGAGGCCAGGTGTGCACCATGACCGTGCTGTTTCTGACTGATCCTCAAAACAGGCATGCTTCCTGGAGCCAGACACAGTTCATCTGTTCTGTCTCAGTGTTCACTGCTCTGGAATCTGCAAAAGTAGAAGTCTCCGTACGTAAAAACCTGCTTGGCTGGCCCACAGAGCAGAGAACTGGTCCAGATGAAGCAGAAAGGGCTTCGAAATGAAATTTGTCACCGTTACAAGTCCTGCAGGAATGAAATTTGCGTCTCTGCCCTGTTGCCACGATGAGTTTAGAGACAACTATCGAGGCCTCTGGTTGCCTCTTGCAAGGCAGTGCTCAGCTTGCAGACAGTTCCTTCAAGGGAGCTTTTTTGGGGAAGATGCAGAGGTGCTACAATCAGGTGACTAAAGTCACACTACAGAGTCACCATGTCATACCGCAAATCTGGCATGGCTAATCTCTACCCACAGGACCGGCTCCGTTGGCAGCCCTGCTGTTATGGGCCATCTATCCTGCACATTTATCCTATTCCCAACCTGTTTCGACTGCTATGGCTCATTCAACAAAGGCCCTGTGGGAATGAGACGATTTGGGATCTAGCAACGTTCTCCACAGCTTCGCAAACCCCCAGTCGTCCGGAGGGGCAGCAGGTGGGAGCCCGTGGCTCCGTCCATGGCAATCGATCTTCCTCCATCCAGCGGAAAGTTGTCCTGTGCAGAGGGCTTCATGCTCTCGGGGCCACGAACAACCTCACCCCAAACTTAGCCACCGAGTCCCCATCTCACCTGCTGCTCGGCGCGTGGGGCGATCGGGCAGAGCTGCAGCTCCGCTTCGGTCAGTTCCACGCCGCTCTTCTTCTCGCACTGTGTGCTCACCACCTCCACTGTCAGGAAGTACTTCATCCCCTCGACGACCTGGGAGAAGGTGGGGAGGGGGACAATTATGTAGTGCCACCCCCCTACTCGACAACCTGCTGAATGAAACTCAGCTCCTTGGATGGTCCTAATTGTTCTGTTTAGGTCTGCCCCCCGGTGCCCCCTAATTCCAGATGTTAACTCCATACCTTCGTCAGTGCCTCCCTAGTGCCCAAGAAGCAACCTCTGCAGTCCCAAACTGCTGGAATCCAGGTGGCCTGACCCCCTGTGTGCCTGGGCACAAAAGACACACCTTGGCCTTGACAGCGTGGTTGAAAGCAAGCAGACGCAAGCAAGAAAGCAGGCCTTGACGGGGGACTGCCATCAGCTGAGTTTTTATTAATAGATCCGTTTATATCTTGCCTTGTCCCAAGGGATTTTTCTCCTCTGATTTTATCTTTACACCAACCCTGTACGGTAGGTTAGTCCGAGGGCACCTGGTGCGCTTCTTGGCCAAGGGACGCTTTGAACTCAGGCTGTCCCAGCTCATTTCCTGCATCCCACTGGAATCCCTGCAATGCTTCCAAGCACATCACTGCCTTGAATCGGCAGGACAGCTCTCCACATGCTTGAGAAGTTGCGTGTGTCGTGGTTAAGAGCACTGGGCAGATCTGGATTCTGGCCCCAGCTCAGCCATGAAGCTCACTGGAGTCTTTGGGCTACTCACCTACCTTACCTCACAGGGCTGTTGTGAGGATAAAATGGAGAGAAGAACCTTATAAGCCGCTTTAGGTTTCTTGCAAGAGGAAGACCGACCGGATATAAATGCACTGAAGGAATAATATTTGTTGTTCAGTCGCAAAGTTGAGCCTGACTCTTCGCAACCCTATGGACAACCTTCCTCCAGGCTCTCCTGTCCTCCACCATCCCCAGAGTCCACCCAAGCCCACACCCACCGCCCCAGTGACCCCATCCAGCCACCTCAACCTCTGCCGCCCCTTCTCCTTTTGCCTTCCATCATTCCCAGCATCAGGGTCTTCTCCAGGGAGTCCTTCCTTCTCATTGGGTGGCCCAAGTATTTGAGCTTCAGCTTTAGTGCCTGGCCTTCTAAAGAGCAGCCAGGGTTGATTTCCTTTAGGATTGACTGATTTGATCTCTTTGCAGTCCAAGGAGATTTCTCCAACATCACGATTCAAATGCATTCATTTATTCTAGGTATTCAAAGTATTTATGCCATTTCAGAGCACCTTCAGGTTATGGGGTGGCATAGAAATGAAATGAATAAAATAAATTTCTGGGTCAAAAAAGGTGCCTAAAGCAGCTTCTACAGAACTAACAAAAGAGAGCAGACCTGGCCCTCACGCTTGCAATAGAAGAAGCGGCACGCAAAGAAAGAGGACGAGGAGGGAAGAGGAGAAAGTCAGTCTCCTTGGCAGGGCGCCCCCCACCCCTCCAGCTCAGCTCTTCCCCGGGTTGACACAGGCCGGAAAGGCCTGGCGCACCCGGGCCCACGGAGGCGCGGCTTGACCGCTGCCTGCTTCGAGGGGCCCGCAGGCCCCACTCCCCGAGCGGCAGTCCAGCCCCTGGGCGGGGAGGCGCGGACGCAGAGGCAGCGCCTTCCGAGCAGCGCCGGGAGCGCGCGGGCGTCGCCGGCCCCTACCTGGCTGGCCGCCTTGACGATGCGCAGCTCCTTGAAATACACGGGGCCGGGGCTGGCCTTGCTGTAGGCCAGCACGGCGAAGGCGGCCGCCTCCTGCACCCCCGGGTCGTCCACGGGGCTGTCCTGCACGCCCCCGAGTTGCGCGGGGAGCAGCGCCGCGGGCGGCGGGAGCAGCAGCAGCAGCGGCAGCGCGAGAGCCAGGATGCGCGCGGCGGCGGCGGCGGCGGCGGCGGGGGCGCGCGGCGTCGCTGCCATGGCTGGAGCAGTCCGAGCAGGTGGCCAGCGGAGCGCGGGCACGGCTCCTATAGGCTGCGGCGGCCACGCCCGCGCAGGAGCCAGCCAATGGGGGGCGCGGGCGCGGGCGGGCAGGTACGGGCAGGCCACGCCCCGCGGCAGAGAGGGAGGCGCCGCCGGCGGGGGGTCCGCGCGCGGCGCTGCTTCTTCGCACGGCCAGGCAGCGGGCCCGGCCTTACTTCATCCACGTATAGACCCCCCAGTAGCCACGGCTCGCTGCGCAGCTTTCGATTGATAGCCCACCTTTCTCTTAAAAAAAAAACCTCAGAGTGGCTTACTCCATCCTCCCCCAGCTGCTCTCAAGCTTATCCCCGCTACGACAGCCCTGTGAGGTAGGCTGGGCTGAGAGTCAGTGACTGACCCAACGTCACCCAGTTGGCTCCATGGCTGAGTGGGGACTCGAACCCGGATCGCCTGAGTCCCCGTCCCATGCTCTCGGGCGTGGAGTGTGTAGCATCCTGTAACAGATTCATATTTCTGGGGCTTCTACCTTTTCACGCCAGTCTGCATTAAGCACCGCAATTCCATGATATATAATAGAACTGAAACTATGCAATGTATGTTCTCAAGGCTAAGTTTAGGATTGGGTTACCTATTACATTTTTTTCCTTAAAAAAGCAACCATGGACCATCTCTATCCTAAATTTTATTGCATTCAACCAAATTCCAAAATCTTCGTATTCATCCACCCACCATATATTTTCACTTTGAATTCTTAACTCTTAAGCCGTGTCTCACTCCTAGCATTTTTAATGAGCTCTCTCAACGGCCTCCCATGGTTCAGCTCTGACACTTTTAAAGGCGGAAATAGAATTGCATGTTGGTTGTTTGTGTATGTCTTTTATGTAGGATTTTGAGAGCTACAGAGAGACTTGGACTTCAAGCCACTTCTGGATCCACTTCACTCTGGCTGGCACCTGTTTAGGGGATGAAGATTGCTTTGGTCACCTTGGTGGACAATCCACGCTGGGAACTGGGCAGGGGGAGGACGTCCATGTCGGTTTGCCGTAGCAATAGGCACCATCAGCCGTATCTTCCTCCTGAGGTGTATATCTGAGATGCACCTGGGAAACAGCGTTAGATAGTGTCTGCAGGCCTTCTGGAGGGTCACCCCGAAAGCAGGTGCTAGGAGGTTCTTCTTGGCCCCCTGGCCATTGACCAGCGGTTCCCCTCAGGCCCTACCTTATTCCTCCTGCCACTGAAGACAGAGATGGCACCAGTGTTTGGGGAGTTGGTGACACCTGACTCTCCCTCTCCTTTCCATCCAAACCCAAGGAACCTCCTCTGGTTCTCAGACTGGTGCCTGAGCTGGTGGCGGACCGGACGAGGGCAAAGACATGAGGAGGTGCTTTTGGGCAGCTGAAAGGCAGGCTAAGGGTTGGGATTCAGCCTGTCCTGGACGGCTCACACTCCCCCAGGACTCAGGTCTGCAGTTGTGCTTGTGTACTTGTCTTGAACCCGGGCTTCAGTGGTGGCGCAAGCACTTTTGCAGAGCTGAGGATGCAGTGCTGACTGTATCTGACCTGTTCCAGGCATGGATCCACCTGCCACGTTACATCCCGTGCGGACTCCTGTCATGCGTTCTACTCGGGGTGGCTATGGGAAGGGTTGAGAAACTTGGGCTGTCCCAGAATGCAGTGGCCAGACTGTTCCTTGAGGCCAGCTACCTGGAACTTTATTATTTATACTTAATTCATAATTATGTGTTTAAGGTTATGCCTTAGAAAGTCCTTCGCAGCTGGCAGTCAGGCTACCTGAATGACCACCTTCTTCCATATGAGCCCACCCAGGTCCTCAGACCTGCAAGGCAAACCCTCCCTCTTGGACTTTTTGGCGGCTGCTCCCAGGCTGCTTGTCTCCCACCCAAGAGAAGCTCAGCTTGGCTCGTCCCTGCTGTCTTTCTGCTTAGTTATTTAAGGCCTTTATCCTGTAGTGGAGTTTTAATTTTTATTTCTGTAATTCTTATGTGTTGGCTGTATTTTAATGTATTGTTTAAATCCATTTAAGTGGTTATGTAAGATGCCTTGATGTAAAAGTGGGTTATGTATATTTTAAACGTGAAAAAATGTATATTTTCACACTTTCCCTTTCCTGAGCAATAGAGGGTCAAATACCTCCATACAGATATCTTTCATACAGCCAACACCCATAATAGTGCGTGAGGTCAGCCAGGCGAATATAACAATTTACTCCCTAAATGATTTCTTCATCTTCTGTTATCCTTTGCTTTACCCACACCGGATGGGAGACCAGAGCAGTTGCGCAAAGTGATAAAGCACCGGCCTCAGCACAGTTCCTCGTGGGACCCTTCTGTCTGCATCCTCCCTCCCATTCTGTGAAAATGAAAAGCCTTATCTTTGATAGGTGAACTGCAAATATTTGAGAAATATTGGGCAAATACGCTACCCTGAAAAGAAAAAAGCAATCAGCAAATAAAAATCAGTAGCTGATAGGCTGAAGCGAGTGCGGTCTTGATGGGACTGACCAGAGCAGTTATGTTTTCATGAGGTGAATATGAAATAGTTCATATTTGGTAAGCGGAGTGCAAATATTTGAGAAACAATCAAATGATCAAATTCTCCTTCTTCACAATCGCAAGGCAGCAAACACAAATGAAATGTCTATGGTAGATTAGTTAGAAGGCCAGATCCTGAAGATGAAACTCAAATACTTTGGCCACCTAATGAGAAGGAAGGACTCCCTGGAGAAGAGCCTGATGCTGGGGACAATGGATGGCAAAAGAAGAAGGGGATGGCAGAGGATGAGGTGGCTGGATGGAGTCACTGGGGCAGTGGGTGTGAGGTTGGGTGGACTCCGGGGATGGTGGAGGACGGGAAGGCCTGGAGGAGTGTTGTCCATGGGGTCGCGATGGGTCGGACGGGACTTCGCGACTAACAGCGAGGAAGCTGTGCCTCCAAAGTGGTCCCTCCTTGACAGCTCTGCTCAGCTCTTGTAAGCTCAGGGCTGTGACTTCCTTGACGGAATCGCTGCATCTCATAACTGGTCCTCCTCTTCTTCTGTCCTTGACTTTCCCCAGCATGATTGTCCACCCCAAGGAGCCTTGCCTGCTCAGGATGTGCCAAAGCATAACAGCCTCACCTCGCCAGTTTCACTTCCAGGGAAAGTTCTGGCTTGAGTTGGTCCAGGGCCCCTTGTTCCTCCCTTGCGAAGCTCCCATCCAGCGCCACGTTTTGAACACGCCCGTTTTCCTCCTGGCGACTTGCTTCACTTCGCAGCTTTCGCACCCAGGCCACCTCCTCCATAAACTGGCCTGATCACTCGGTGGCCGTCTTTACACCCCGGGTCTCTCTACACAAGACATTGGTTGTGCACTTGTGATTCCTGACTCTCAGTGGTTTGTGGGTGCTTGGCATAACAGTGTTGTTCCCGGGGCTTACCCCATGCTCTCCAGGCATTTCCTTGCCTTTTTTCCTTGCAAGGAAAATGTTGAATTATCTGGAAATGGCTGAATGAACTGCTATGGGGTGAGGACCATATGCCTCCCTGGAATTCCACCACCTTATAGGTGTGTAATAGAATAAAAGAAACCCGCACCAAGAGAAGATGGATAAAGGCACTTACCTCAATCCTGAAAGAAGCCAGAAACAGACGCCTTGGGAGAACGGCAAGTTAAAAGCCCCATAATTGTCTGAAGTATCTGTCTCTTTTCTGTCCTGGCTTAGTCATTGTTCAGCTTCATCAGATAATCTTTTATGGTTCTAGATGCACGGGAGAAGAAGACTCACTTCTTGTGACGATTAGAAAGATGCAGCTTAAGAAAGATGCAGCCGAGCTGGAAAGGGTTCAGAGGAGGAAGCAAGGATGACCCGGGGCCTGGAGACAGAGCCCTGTGAGGAGAAAGGGGAAGAACTGGGCATGTTGAGCCTCGAGAAGAGAAGACTGAGGGGAGAGAGGGGAGCACTCTGCAAGTACTTGAAGGGCAGTCACAAAGACGACCGCCAGGATTTCTCCTCGATCATCCCAGAGTGCGGGACATGGAATAAGGGGCTCAAGTTGCAGGAAACCAGATTCTGACTAGCCATCAGGAAGAACTTCCTGACCGTTAGAGAAGTGCAACAGTGGAACCCGTGACCTCCAGTGATGGTGGCCTCTCCCACCCGGGAGGCATTTAAGAGGCAGCTGGGGGGGGGGGCGTTAACTGGGAGTCCTGACTGAGCAGGGGGTTGGGACCCAGCGGCCCCCCGGCCCCTTCCAACTCTGCTCTTCAGGGATTCCGTGGAAGGCGCTCATTCCTAGGGCCAGGCCACCATAACTGGGAGGCAGTTTGACAGCACAAAACACTTTCGGTAATATTTAAGGAATTTTGTACCCTTCCGTCGTGCCGCTTCTGGTCCATCCGTTTTCTGAGCTAAGCACTGCCAGTTCTTCTCACCATTCCTAGTCGGGGGGAAGCGGCAGCCACGGTGGTTGCCCCGCTCTTCATGGCCCTCTGTGTTTTCAGCACCTCAGGCTTTTTGGTGTAATCTGCAACTTGGTGCTTTCAGTGCTCGCCACCGTGCAGAACCCTTCTGAAAAACGCAGCCATTCAGTGTGGATCCTTTATTGCTCTCCGGTGCTCCAACGGACTTCCCCTGCCTCTCCCAACTTTTGGAGTATAATTCTTATTGCATCGAATTTACATCCCACCCTTTTTCCTCTTGTGAGGGACCCAAGATGGCTTTATCCTCATGACAACCCTGCGAGACAGGCTTGGCTGAGAGTGAGAGACTGGCCCAGGGTCACCCAGTCAGCAACTGGGGACCAGAGCCCAAACCAAGGCTCCATTTGGATGCCAGGAAGCACTTCCTGACAGTCAGGACCCCGAGGGGATGGAAGGGGCTTCCATGGGAGGTCGTTGAGGCCCCATCGGTGCGGGTGTTCAAGGACAGGCTGGACATGCATATGGTGGGCATGTCGTGAGCAGAGCCGGCTGGAGCTGGAGGTCTGACTAGATGGCCCAG